CTTATTTATTTTGCTTTAGGTATGGGCCCAGGAAACATTTAAAAATCTGATCGACCCACTTTGGAAGTATCACACTGCTCCATTAAAACGTTAAAAAACTTTGAGAATAGTACATTGGCCCACCAACTAAAGTAATAATTTATTTTTTGTTATTTGTTAGATTTTTCTTTTGTTTGTTTACCCACTTTAAATTGATCTATTATCAATTTTGAAGATTGTTTATGATTTATTATATGCTTATTTTGTATATTAATAACTTTTTGACATTTTTTTGGCTACGGTTAGGCTTATGCCTCAAAATGCCTTGAGGCTTACTAACCTTACAAAGAAAAAACACGTCAGTACCCATTTACGCCTTTTAAACATTGGTCTAGCTATTCATATAAACTTGAAGCTAAGACTGTCTTCATATTCAGGGTAGCTTCTTCTGTGATTTGTCTCGTGCTCTGCAACTGTTAGAGATCAGAGCATATCTATTTAATTATTTTTGTATGTAGCTTCCTTTATTGAAAGAATGTAAAAGTTTAAAATTGTCGACCAAAATATTATCACTCTAGATTTGAAACTTAGCCATGTTTGAGCCACATTAAAATTTCCATTCTCATTCTTGTACTCATTTTCAATCACACATTCTTCAATAAAATAATATTTTTCATCGTATCAATAACTTTTCATTTTTTTTTCAACTACACATTCTCCATCAATCTACTATTTCAAAATACATTCTTCCAAAATAATGTGGCTCAAACATACCATTAGTTATGAAATGTAAAACTGTATAAGTTCCCATACTCAGCTGAAAATGTAAGTAGCTGTTCCAGCTGAAATACTTGGAATTATTCTTCCAGACTACCACTTCTACTAGGAGTAGCCTTTTTATTTCTAGCTGAAGCTTCATTGAGCTAATAGATCAGGCCCCTACGATTGTGCAATATTTAATTTCCTACTGTCAGCATCTACTAATAATTTCAAATATCTTTTCTTTGAATTGCTGTAGGATGATGGTGGCAGATTTAAATCACATCAATAGTTAACGTGCAGATATTCACATATGCTCTTAGTTGCAGGATCTGAAATCAACAAATCTTGATAAGTTCTTTCATAGAACAATTTCATTTGAGGTCTATACATTGAAGAATGGAAGATGGAATATCAAGCTTTTGGGGGCCCGTCACATCTACGCATGAGTGGTGCGAGCCAAATTATGTTCATTCTTCCTATATTGCAGAATTTTTCAATACCATCTCTAATATACCGTGCATTATTTTGGCTTTGATTGGTCTCGTGAACTCCTTGAGACAACCTTTTGAGAAAAGGTTTAGCGTCCTTCACATATCAAATATGATTCTAGCCATTGGCAGCATGCTATATCATGCCACCTTGCAGCGGCTGTAAGTGTTTTTTTTTTTCCTATTATTTTCTTGTCAATGTGGTTACGTATCAAAATGGATGTGTAAGGTTGTAAGCTATATAGAGGGGTTGATGGGCTTTATTATTATTATTTTTTTACGTTATAAATATTAGAAAAAAATTGCCTAATGTGGTGCCAGTGTGCCATTTTAACTTTTAAGTGTGAGCTTTCAAAGAATGAACACATTGCATCCATTGAAACCGTTAAGTATATAGAGATAGAGAAACCATAGCAAAGTATATTCTATGGAACCCAAATTCATTTTGTAGCTGAAAATTTTTCACTAGAACTTATGTTGAATTAATGCCAATTTTTCTTATTTGGAAGAAGGTAAATTTATAATACAAAGTATCTCATGTCTTTGCTCTTGGGAATGGTGCATTGGAATGGGCTTCTGCTCATTTGGTAGCCCGAAGTAGAAGAAAAGATTTTCGTTTTCCTGCTGTAGAATTATATCTTTGTTTTAAGGTAATCTTTGTTCGTTGATACATGCTGGTTCCATATGTAACTAGATGAGAAGTAAAAATCTCTTGATGGCATTCCTTATTATTAAAAAGATATAAAATAAGAACAATCATTTAAGAAAGGGTCCTTCAGGAAAAAAATTTATGGCCTTGGTGAAATGTTGGTCTAACACCGCTTCAATTTAATATAGTTGGCTGTTAGAATTAAATAATGTTCTCAATATAATTTATCTGTGAAAAATTCCGAATTTATTTTCAGGCAACAGCAAGGGGATGAAACACCCATGGTGTGGGAAATGCTCCTTTATATTTACATCCTCTACTCACCGGACTGGCATTATCGAAGTACAATGCCAACCTTTTTGTTCCTTTATGGTGCAGTATTTGCCATAGCACATTCACAGCTGCGTTTTGATATTGGTTTTAAGGTGCACTACGCGCTGCTTTGCCTTCTTTGCATTCCTCGGATGTATAAATATTACATTCACACAGAAGCTAAATCAGCTAAGCGGCTTGCAAAGATGTACGTCGCCACTCTATTGTT